GCGCTTTGTATTGCAGGAAGACACTGCAGCGGCCAGATCCCCAGCCTAGGTAGGGGCGTTTGGGTCTAGTTGTTCAGCATTGCAAACGGCTGCTCCTCAGGCCCAGCAGCATGGCAAATCGCTTCCATAATGGGACGGAAGAGTCTGCCCTTGCAAGACAAATGTGATTGGTGGCCACAAATCAGCAACACAAATTTTCGGAAACATACCTTTTCAAAATGGGGAGGGGAAGTTTTTCCTTTCAATAACGCTGGCAGATTTTGCCGTCCGTGTCGACGTTGGGGTGGAAAATCGGATCCGAGAACCGCGCTTCTATGGCCTTCTCAACTGTTACACTCTAAACTGTTACATGATGAGTTTGTGATGCAAGAATGGCAAGAGTGAAAGTGGGAAGGTTGCGCCTTTTGCATTACAGGTTTGGAGCACAGCATAATGCTTATGCTATCTAGCGCGTCGAGAACTTGTCATGCGGAGGAGGAAAAGTGCTAGTGTTTTTGCATGACAAATCATGTAACACCAGTTGAGAATGTAACGTTTGAGAACCCCATAGCCTCCAACGGCTCCATCGGGTAGGTTCGGGGGACAAGAAGCTCGACCTCGAACACGCCGCACTCCCATTCCGTGGAGAGGGGACCCTGGATGTAAGCGGTAACCCGGTACTGGCCGTCTGCCTCGGCTGCAGAAGAAGACCCCGGCTTTGGCAGCAGCGCAAACTGCTCCGGGTCGACCCACACGCCGTCCGCGACGAGCGTGCAGTATCCTATGTAAAAACGTTCCCACCCCATAGTCAAGATGGGGAATCGGCCCGACAAATCCACAAGTTTTGGCTGCTTCGCATGACAGATTTCAACTATTGGTGCAGTGCTGTGTAGTGAGCTAGGTCAACAGCATCACAGATCTAGGATGTCACGCAGATTGGAGCATGACAAACTCCAGAACACGACTAGAAAATGCTTCTCATGGAGCTCCGCATGGGAAACATTTCCAGCATGCAGACTTGCATTGCAACTATGGGTTGGGGACGCTTTTAAATACGATATGCACGGGGTCTGCTTCAGTTTGTCGCCTTCCTTCATCAGCCGCCGGTGGGCGTAGCCCACGCCACCCGGGTTTATCTTTGACGCCATTTTTTTTTGCAGTGTCTTTCAGCGCAAAAATACGAATACAACCTGCCGTGGCCGGAAATTTTTCTAACTCATCATTAAACCACCTCAAGATGAAAAAAAACTACAGTTTTTTCTTTCCATCCACATGTTGTTGCGCGCAGTAGTATCATCTATTTTAAACCCGCGGAAACATAGACCATCTACGGTGCTAGACGTTAGAGAAAGACCGCTGTAAAAACGTTCGATACTGATTTTCGGAGATGATGCAGGTGCGCCTTTTTTGCTACAGTGCAACATCGATGACGTTGTCAGTCCTCATTGCAACGAGCCCCGAATGAAAAGTAAATGGCAACGGCGAGGATCCGACAGGAAAGGACAGTTGAAAATGATCAATCTGAGGGTGGTCCGCATTTATCGCGATTGTCGTCATGGATTGCTATTCTTGGAAATCTCTTTTGCTTGTATCCCTCATCGAGCCTAGCCAATAGGTGCAGCCCGCGATCCAAATGAACGCAATACTCAATACGACGGAGGTCCTGGCACTGTGCCCGAAAGAGACAAACAGATGCTAAAGCTTTCTCTCACCAATTCGAACTGGTGCCGCGCCGACGTGCTCTCATCGGGCGCAGGCGCTCGACTTCACGCGAATGTAGAACATCTTGACAGCCAGCATTTTACGAAAGGAAACGAATGCAGACCAACTGTCGGTCGACTTCTAGTCTGTCCGATCAGACTGACACCACGGCCGCGCGGCGGCTTTGTCCTGCTCCTGCTGTGGCCAGCCACCAACCTGCAGCGGCTGCGGTCGTCGAAATCCTCCGCCCAGGGCTGCTAGAAAATGCGGCCCCTTGGAGTTTTCCGGGGCGGAGATGTCTGCCCCTGCTATTCGTTTTGGAAATCACGCACACCGCAGAGGAAGCTAGCCAGAGGAGGAAACACACAACCAGACGCCAATGGGCCAGATCCGAGGGACGTCCAGGACGGGCAAACAAGGCACCGGGCGCCCGCGCATCATCTTGGCCGCGGCTTCTGCCTTCGAAATGCCTCGCCCGGAGCCAGCTACGAGAAAACCCGGCCGGCCCCTTGGGTTTTGGTATTGCGGTGGTGCCGCCCGGTTTTGCGTTTTGGAAATCACACAAAAGCCGAGCCCCCGGAAACCAACCAGAGGACCACCCAACCCGACACCAACGAGCCAGACGGACCCGAGGAAGGGAGGTCAGGACGGGCCAGCAAGGAAGGCACCGGGCGCCATTTTTTATCTTGGCCACGCGCCTTCTGCCTGCAAAATGCCCCGCCTGGAGCTGCGAGAAAATTCGACCCCTTGGGTTTTGGTATTGCGCTGGTGGCGCCGGTTTTGCGTTTTGGGAACCACACAAAAGCCGAACCCCCGGAAACCAGCCAGAGGACCACCCAACCCGACACCAGCGAGCCAGACCCGAGGAAGACACGTCAGGACGGGCCAGCAAGAAAGGCACCGGGCGCCCATTATCTTGGCCGCGCCTTCTGCCTTTAAAATGCCCCGCCTGGAGCTGCGAGAAAATTCGGCCCCTTGGGTTTTGGTATTGCGGTGGTGGCGCCGGTTTTGCGTTTTGGAAATCACACAAAAGCCGAGCCCCCGGAAACCAGCCAGAGGACCACCCAACCCGAAACCAACGAGCCAGACGCGAGGAAGGGAGGTCAGGACGGGCCAGCAAGGAAGGCACCGGGCGCCCACTATCTTGGCCGCGCCTTCTGCCTTCAAAATGCCCCGCCTGGGGCTGCGAGAAAATTCGGCCCCTTGATTTTTTCCGGCTGGTGGCGCCACCGGTTTGGCGTTTTGGAAATCACACAAAAGCGGAGCCCCCGGAAGGCAGCCGGAGGACCGCCAAGCCGGACGCCAATGAGCCAGGGAGACCCGAAGGGAGGCAGGGCGCGCGGGCAAGCAAGACAGCGGGCGCCCATCTTCTTGGCCGTGGCCTCTCCCTTCTGCCTCCCACCTGCCTCGCCTGGAGAGCTGCGAGAAAATGCGGCCCCTTGGTTTTTTCTGGATGGTGGTGACACCGGTTTTGCGTTTTGGAAATCACACAAAAGCGGAGCCCTCGGAAGCCAGCCGAAGGACCGCCCAGCCGGACGCCAACGAGCCAGGGAGACCCG